TAAGGAAAGGAGCCGGGCTCTGACATGCTGGGGGGGGGGGGGGGGGGGGGGGTGCCTGTCTCATGTCGTCACAGTCCATTTGCTGGGGACGGATCGATTTACTCATGGAGTTTTTAAAAAGCATCTAGCAAGGAAATAACAAAGGACTTAGGGGGGAAAAAAACGTTACAACCCAGTCCATGCAACTAAACAGAGGAGCTATTTCCAAATGGGCTGCTTACGGTATTTAAGAGGGATTAGTTACCCTTCATGGTTTTTAAAAACATTTGTGCACTCTTTCGTTTTTAAATTAACATTTTACGTTATATATAATCCTCAAACCCCTTTTTATTTGTCCTTTTTTTAATAGAAGAAATACCTCCGAGACGAAGTTTTTAATCGATCTCCATATCCGAAAGAAATGAACCTACAGAGAGCTTTAAAAAGCGGCACACGCCTTTACCATAACCACATTCAGCATACATCTACTGCCACCCTGTGGACAAGATATGCATTGCATAAATTGGCACTGTGGAATTAAACAGACGGAATCAAAGTTCTCTAACAGCTTAACACAGTCAAATTTGTTTTTGTTTTAATTCTGCCGAGGTTAAAAAAGGTTTTAAGAAAAGAAAAGGAAGAAGCTTGGGTTGCCCATTTTGTAGGATAATCAGTGTCTTGTTAAGCTCTGCAAACAAATGTCACTTTCACATAATAGGCACATTTTTCCAACCTTTGCTGACCTGAAATAAAGCAACCCTCACTTTGAGCCCAACCTGACCAAAAAGAAAAGAACCCCAGAGCTCAGCATGGAGCCTGAAGCTTTCAACAGGCACAAAGTCAAAAACGTGCGATCAGATTACTTAGCAGAGAGCCGAATGCCACTTTCTCCACCTAAATCACATTTAACATAAGCCCTGTGACCAGGCGGCACATAAATTATCTCTCCCCGTCCTTGTTAACAGAAAATCAAGATGAAGAGGTGGGAGGTGGATGTGGGGAGAAACAGTGAACTCATTCTGCTCAGGTATAACCCTTTGTCCACTGTGAGCCCCTACTATTTGCAGTGAAGACAGATGAGAAAAGCTCAGCCTCGGGATGAGAGTTCAGGACAGCAGCTTGTCAGACCCCAGAGACTTGTGAGGTGACAACAAGATGGGACCATAAACTTTATATATGATGTTTTGGTGAGACAAGCAACACTAAAAATAAAGACACCAAGCGTTAAAAACATAAGCTGTGTTAAAAAACCTGTGTAATATCCAAATGTCATTTTTACTGTATATTTATGTAAAATCAGGAGAGAACAGGGTGTATTTGTTTGTAATTTCTAAACATTAGGTCTTAAAAATAAAAGATAACATTTTCAACACGTTCTGCTCAGTGACTACAAAAATGACCGATCAGAACACAAATACGCACCAGCAGCAACCAAGTCAGCCAGTGAAAAACCCAGAAAGGCCAAGCTACTGTGTGCCGCAACCCAAACCCACTAAGAGAGATTCGATTTGTGGAAAAAGAGAAACATGCCCCAGCACAGGCATAAAGAAAACAGAAAATAATAAACGGAAAAAACATATTACATAATGTCTATCAATCTATACAGAATACTCAACATTATTGTAACAGGTTCCTACAAACTAACTACTTTTCTCCTTTTACGCTATATTTTAGGTTGGGGTGCTATAATATTAATCTGACGGAGGGAAGAAGGTAATAAGGTTTTCTTTGGAAAGATTATTGTAAGGTATAGCAAAGACTAATGACTGTTCACCTTTTGGATAGGCTCATTCATGTTGTATCAGGCACGGTGTTGTGTGAGAAATAGATTAATAAAATGAATGAACGTTGATTGGGTGCGGACTGACTTCAGTATCTGCAGAGGGCTCACCTGTTCCCCTAATTTTTTATGTCACACAATTTCTACATTTAATCTGATGGCATGCACTGACAAATCTGTGGTGGTCTATGTGGTTCAAATAATTACCTGGACTAGGGGCATCAGTCACTGTCACACCATAAAATACTTCCCCAACTCCACTTAAGCTTTCCTGAAGAGTGTAATATTTTGGGGAAAAAATTGTCAACACTATAATAACCATGAATAAAAATTTAGAAACTGGTTGAAGGGAATTCCCACAAGTCCTTGGCAAGTTATCCACGGTTACGCACACACGCATGCGCAAAGCTAACTTCCTAAACGGGCGCTTCTCCAGCAGAACTCACTGCAACGGGTGGGAACCATCTTGGTGAGATCCTCAAAATCTTTGGTAGGGTGATCTTAGTGTCTTTATTTTTTCAGCTGTTGTTGCACGCTACTGGACGTCAAAGTTCAACCGTATTTGCCCCGTTTTACTTAAAGTTCAAATAGAAAGAAATGTACTTTAAAGTATCTACTAACGTGCAACTATAGGCTATTATTTTAGAATATTTACGTAATTGGGATAAAACAATAGAGGAAGTGGATAAATAGAGAACTTACCCGCGGATCCACCGGCAATAATCTGGTGGGAGGCTTCTCGGAGCAGACTCTGTTGCTTCTCGGCTGTCATTTTAAACTTCAAAGTGCCCTACCGAAGCAAACGCAACAGCAGACTTGTAAACACAACGGCATAAGGTGAAGCGTGTTAACGACGTGCTTCGGCTCCACAAACCTGCTCGCCCCTTGCTGTGACGGTGTTCTGTTGAAAGTTGTGTCGTGGGCTCAAAGTTTGCAGCAGCTGCAGCACGCGCAGCTCAGGGTCGCGGCGATACGTCTCCGCGTGCCCACCGGCTAAGCTAGGCTAAGCTAACCACTACCTCCGCCGGGCTGCCGGTTTAAATTTGCCCTCATATGGCCTCGCGTTACATATGTGAAATGTCCCAATATTTTAAGGGAAAACAAGTATAACCACAGTTGCTTGGTCAGGAATATATTAAAAGCAAATTAAGTTATTTAACACGTACATTTTAATTAAACCACAAAGCTTGTGTTAATCGTAATCTATTGCCTTTATAATAAATATTTATTCCTCAAATGGATTTAAGAGAAAAACATGTTTTACTCATCAGCAGTGCCAAGCTGGCGTGTAGTGAAATAGTACAGTGACAGGAATATTTGTTTAAGATTTACTTTAAAGTCCCATTCTCAAATTAGACTTCACGTCCAGCGTCACAGAGCTAATGTGCTCATATATCTGAAGCTTGTAAATGGAATCAACTCTTCGTCTGCAGCAGAGGGAACTCTCGGTCTTTCATTCCAGGGGATGTCCTCCTGAGGCTGTTTCATCACAGGAACAGTTTTTTTTTTTAGTGCATTTGGATAAAGTGGACTGGTCTTCATGTTAGCAAGCAACCCAGTGTTGGATTTTAGTTTGTCTAGTCTTAATTGAGCAGCTCTGGTACAGCTCTTGCCAAACAGTTGTTTGTCATGCCAAAACCTTTTAAATAAATAAATAAAAACATTAAGGTAAAAAAAAAAACTGTATGAGAAAAGGCCATCAGTGTCCAAAGCCCTCACTTGAGCCAACTGACAAATATTAAAAATGTGTTACTTCCATATTATATTTCCATCTTTACAAATATTGGTCCACGGAATAGTTTGTTTTTTTTTAGTCGCGTCTAATACGTATTATACAGTAAGCACTAAAACATTAAAATTGAACCTACAACATGAGTAAAATGCTGAATATTTAGAAAGACTTAATACATGTAGAAACACCAGCATTTTGTGTACACGTGAATTGTTACTTTCCACAAATTCCAGCACAGACTTAAATGTTCAAGTAGATTGTTAGATGACATGCTGTGTAAACAGTAGAAATTCAAAATGTTTGAGAAGCTACAGACTTAAAATGTCAACCTTTGTTTTTTTGTGTTTTCGAAGAATGAAATAGTTAACCAAGACAGTCGAGAAATGATTAGAAAAATGGCCTTAAGCTAAGACGAAGCACATGCTGGAACGTCTCATTAGGGTTGATTTGCAACAGGTGAACAACTTAATTTGGTGGAAAGAGCATCCCATCAAGGCAGTCACAATTAAAATGTCAGACTGGGCTCTGTAAAAATGACACCTGTTAATAATTACTAAATTATCTTTAATTATAGAAGACAACTGTCTGATTCAGCCTATCATGATTCAGCACCTTTATCTGCAGCACGGAAACACGGCAATGAAAAAATTATGCTTAATGGTCTCAGCTGTAACAAAATGTCTTTTTTTTTAAATGTTTTAAACCAGATTTGTGTCCCTAAATATACATTGAATGAGATATTATTAAATCTTACAACATATGACTTAATGGTTCTACACCACCATGCTCTGAACTTTTGAATTCAACACGATTAAAACTACTATGGAGCCCTTATCGTGGCCGGCTCCATACTGCTGTGTGGAAACAGAGGGGAGAAAAAAAACGTTCTACGTCGATGGGTAATGAAGGCACGCAGAAAGTCCGCACTGAGCCCTGTAACGAGTGCTTTGTTTTTGTGCGACTGCAGCCACGGAACAACAAGAGCTTTAGACAAGCTATAAAAACCTGGGATTTACAGCATATATTTGGCAAGAAAATGCCATTAACCATTTTGACCCTCTTGGATAAGAAAAAGCAGAACAGCTTCCACCCGTTCAACCCCAGCTCCAGTAAAACATGTATACACTGAAAGCAGTGTACACCAGCACAGAGGGGAACTATTTAGGTTATGTACAGGTCCAATAAGGAGGGGGAAAAAAGCTTTTGTGACAAAATGTGTAAAAGCAGTGCTACTCTTTCCCCAACAGGAACTTTGCTACTATTGTGTGAGATGCCCGTCTCCTGAATTAATCCTGCAGTGCTTACAGCCAAAGGTGGTTCATGTCCGGGAAAAAGCAATGGAAGTTTTGTTCCAGCAAGAGAAAAATAAAAAGGCCAAGAAAATGAGCGATGCCTTATAAACATGCTATATAGTTCTACATACTGCCAAATAAGAAAGGGAGAGACATAACAAAACCAATGAAATTCTAAATAAGGACAAGTTAAATATGTCTAATGATGCAACTCATGTCTACACAGCTACATGTAAAAACAAATATCATTAGTGGGTAACATCTTAAAAATATACTAAACATTACTTTTGACCAACAATTAGATACTGGCAAACATGCAGTTGACCACAAAGTAATAAGAAGACGAAGGTGAAGAAAATAAAAGAAAGGATTGTACCATTTATTTTATTATAACACACACATCATTTAAACATTCTAGGACAGTATCTGAACAAACACACCTCTCTTAAATTACTCACTAAGCAGGCTTTCAAATGAAAACCTGACATTTATGGAGAACACTTCACTGTCCGCAACAGCCCCAGAAATGTTAAGGAGAAAATAAATAACTAATATGAAAACAAATGAGACAGTGGTTTTTCCATAGCAGTTCAAGTCATTCAAACATTTTGGTAGCTCTTTTTGAAAAATATCTGGAAATTCAAAACACTGAGTGGTATTATGTGGAATGACAGAAATATGACAGTCCTATTTCACAGATGTTGTATACATACAGTACACCTTTCAATATTTTTAATCCCTTTTGTATTATTGTCTTCCCAAGGAAAATTTGATCATCAGGAAGCTAAACTGTAGACATACTTTGCTATGTGTTATATTTGTATTTTCTGACGAGCTAAATTTAAAACAGAAAAATGATTTAGATATTTACTGAAAACAAGCCCATGAGAATTCATGAAGAACGCTGAAGTGTTTTACAGTGTTATTACCAAATATTTTAACCAGTATTTATTATAGTTCGATATATCTGAAAATGTATCATAAGGATTTGGAGGGTGGAGATGGTTCTCAAATTGCAAGTTGGAACTCTTTTACACTGAATTTTTACTCACATCAAACATAAATTAGCTAATAATATAGTACCTAGACTTGATGTTTTATATCCCAACGTGGAAAGTCTGACTTCATCTTAATGGTCTCTTTTCAACCAATCCAAAATCAGCCGTTTAGACTTTCCATTTGTCAATAAATGCATCGATGGAAGTGAAGCAATGACAACCAACACAAGAACTGATATTGGTGAAATGTTGCTAATAAAAAAGTTCTTAATTTCAGCTGCTAAAAAAACAAAACTACAAAACCATGCATAAAAGAAAGGTTACAAAGAACATAAAACTGATACGCGAGAACTTACAATGCGAGTTGTCAATATTTCTGTTAAATGATAAGCGGACATTCTGTGGTGCCAGTTTTATCAAGTTGAGCTGTTCAACATGACTCAGGATGAGGCTGAGTCTAAAACAGAGCGGTAGCTTACCAGATGTCCATCTACCAAATGCAGGCGAGAGAAGAAGAAGTATTTGAGAAGAAAACTGCCAGTCAAATGAGTTGTTTGAGCTCTCTGCCTATTTATCGTACCGTGCCAACATGATCTGAGAAACACAGAGCTCGGCTGCCCTAACAACAATCAGACCCCCCGAGGCCTGAGCGAGCAGCATGGAGTAGTGTGGGTCATCCCGCACTGCTAAAATAATCCGGTTTAATAGAGGTTTAAACAACTAAAAGCTCAAATATCTGTTATTTGGACCAAAGCATGTCTGATATTGCTTCAGCTGTATAATTATTACATAATTGATTAATTAGCCACTGTTTTCAATTAACTAATGTTTTTTCCCCTCTTTTTTTCCTTAATAGCATTTACACTTTTTTCCTGCATTTCTATTCAACTTTCAAGATGAAGAGCCTCGCTTTGTATTTCCATGTAGAGATGTACAATTAAGGCATTCCAACCTTGCCTTTAGCGTTAGCTTCAACTTGAAACACCTTGAATAAAAATAATAAAATACTACAACCTACTAGTGTTGGCAACAACGTCATCTTCGCCAAATAAACACAATTTGCATTGCTAACCATTATAAATTCAGCTTTATTTAAACTCACCTACCTCACCTGGGGACCACGTTTGTTGCCTGGAACCTGCGCTACTGTTATGCTATGCTAGCTCGGCCTTAGACTGTTGGAATTTATCCCATGGCTTTGGACACTATTTGATGTACTCTCCCCCTCTCTCTTATTTGTGCATTTCTCCTTCCTCTGTACACCACCATAAATCTCTGCCTTCAAACAAGAGCGCTTCTCCTCTACGTCACGCAACCAGAAGGCCGTACCGGAAGTCATACTTTAAAGGAAACGCCGATTGTTCACATTTTTGGGTATATTGACTCAAACCATTATTCGTTTCCATGCTGCTCAGATTCATTTCAGACCGCAAAGAATTCTATCTACTTAAGAATAAGGCATGACACATAATCTTTTAAGGGTTTTGAAGGGTCAACTTCAAGTCTGTAAACCTGTTATGGAATTTTCTGACATTTGATGGATAAAATAATTTGTGAATTAATAAAAAACATTAGTTTGTTAGTTGTTTAACTAAATTACAATAGTATAATATTCAGACTATGTCACAGTAAGACATTACATTTATCGAATCCAACACATTTGCCCCTTTCTAACTCTGGTATCATACATTGATGATTGTTTCTTTGTCGGTTATGATAAATTCATTATGAAAAACTACTGTAGCACACATCTGAGGTTTGTGACTATGGAGATATTTCTCTAAAGAAAAGAAAATAAAGACCCAACACCAACAAATAAACATGACTTGAAAATCTCCTATTTTCAAATGAATGGTCTAAGAAGGCAGAGTCTGCCTTTTCTAATGGTCTGCTTTTATACTTGGAAAAAAACAAAAGTAAATCTCTGAGTACCTGAACTGTAAAACTTAAGAAAATAAAACCGATGTGCAACCCAGAGCACGTCAGGTGAATGCAGATTAACAGTAACCGCTGTGTGGAAGCCTCTAGGTTGGTGTTCTTCACAGTAGTGTGGGGCCTTTAGTGGTGTAATTCATGGTGGGGAAGTGTCTGCTGTCTACATCCCAATGGCCTTGCGGCTGATGGGAGGCAGATGGGAGAGTGGGGTTCCAGTGGTTAATGTAGCTGGCCATGAGCAGAGTCAGCTCCAGTATCTGAGATATGAGCAAAACGAGGGGGATCAGGGTAGGCTTGATGGCTTTAACATTTTGATATGAATGCATTTCATTTGAGTCCAGGGAGCTGGGAACTCTCATTTGCTTTAACAAAATGTGAAAACCTGAAAAACTCAAATGATTTGTGATAAAGAATTAAGTTACCTCCCTTAAGTAGGAACACAAACCTGTTTTAAGGCTCAAATGAGATTCAACACATGACATATGAGAAAATCTGCTTTTGTCATTAAAGTTGTGTAAAAGTGGGTGTAAATAGCGACTGCAGTTTTCTTCCTTTATCCATATGCATTTCATATGCTTAAATACTCAATCCATGCATCCACCTTTACCCACTTTTTCTCTTACAGCTAAAGCCTGAATCAGAAACCTTAAAAATCTTTAAATCTTTAAAAAGCCCTCAGACTAACTCAATCTTTCATGTATTTTCTATTCATAATTATATCCACAGACACATTCCACCTGAAACTTTCAACTGTAAAATGTAAGAATAGCTGCTTTAAATCATTCAAGATGACGTGACAACTTGAGATGAATCGGCTTGCGTGAGAAATTCCTCCAAATCTGACTAAACATTGGCTCAGATGCACACAGGATGCTCACCTTGGGTTTAGTTATGGAAAAGATCAGCTTCTCCACACTCTTCTTCCCAGCTGCGGGCTCCCTCTGCTGGCTTGTGACCACCATGAAATCATCACCACAACCACCAAAGGTGATGACCGACTGGTAGGAATACGTGACCAAGGTGTGCTGAGAAATCAAAGCGGTACGAGTGTGAGATTTCAGAGGCTGGCAGAAACATGGAGTGGCCCCAGCTTTTATTTCTGATCCTGGAACAGCACGGGGATCATTTTGGTGTGTACTTTTCTGAGCGGTAAACTGAATGTAATGATGAGTGACAGAGTTTCCACTTCATTTCTCTCGCTTACATTCTGAAAACAAATGAGCAGCGTTGCTGGCCAGACCAGAGAATGAAATGGATCAAAGACGGGCTCCCGAAAATTACAGAGCTCGTGTTAGCATAGCGTACATGTCTGTCAGGGTCAAATATGTCAGCTTTGAGGCAGGCCATTTTGTTTTCCTTTGAGTTTCTCGATCTTGAAACACCACAGAATAAAAATAATCCCAGACCAGTGGGGCTGGACAGCTCTGCAGCTGTGGTCAACCGGGCAGAGCGATGCAATTGGTAAAACCAACCTAGTTTTTTCAGCTTTGAAATAAAACTGCTTGAAATACCCAGTAGTAGCGATTTTTTAAATTCTAAATAAACCAAATGTTGTTCCCATTTTCCACCTTCTACACGGTTTTAAACTCACCATAGTGTTGTCCAGGACACACAATCCGTCCTCGCAGACTGCGAGCCAGACCTGGCTCTGCTCAACAGGAGAGGGCGGGACAGGCTGTGGAAACAAACAGTCTTTTTCAGATGTTTTCATTCTTCTGATTCAAACTGCCCCAGTGTTAGGATTCAAGCCAAATGGAATAAATTTTATATTCCATGATTAGGTGCAATTTACTCTCCTCTGAAGGCAACAAGTTGGTCTTGGTGTGGACAGTCTTTCATCGAGAGTTTCTTTTTACCTTGGCACTGATGAGCTTGGCTCCAAACAGGGGCCATTTCCGAGCCACTGTTAGGTATATTCTCACACACTCGGACCCACTGCACCCACGAAGCATTGACCACTTACTGGACAAACGCTCAGTCAGATCTCTGGAGAGAAGAGAACGAATAGTGGTTGAAATGCCTTTTATCATAATCAGTTTTATCTAACTGCGATCAGACAAAAAGATCAAATCCACACTAGGTAAAAATAAAACCATAGCCCTAAAAAAAAAAAGAAACGTTTGAGGAAAATATGGAGGGACTTTTCTATTAAAACTTATGCTCAGTGTCTGTATTACCTGAGCTGCTCTGAGCTGCAGTCCTGTTTGTAGCGTTTGGGATAGAAGCGCTCTAAGGCTTGCAGGAGAAGCAGTCGTGATTTAGACTGAGGAGAGCCGGTTGGGGAGGAGACACCTGATCGCTCCAAATCACCATGTTCAACCTGGAGGAAGGAAAACAAGATATTGTGCATTTTACTCTGGTTTCCGAGGAGTGTCCTCACAGAGGCGTATGTGTGACCTGCTTTGTTTGGCAGAATCAGGATCAGAGATAACAAACAGCCACACAAAACCGATAATTTAAAATATGTATGAAAATTGTACAGAATTGCAATCATTCCTTTTCCAAAAATGGAATGAGTCCGAGATGGAGGTCAGAGGTCTACCAAGTCCAAGACCCAGTAAAGTCTGTAACGTGCATACTCCATTCTCAAAATGCAAGAATCTGATTCTGTGTCACATGACTCAAGGCTTAAGCAACACTGAGAAGGGATATAGATAAAGAAAAAGTATTATAGTAATAGTAACATAGCGATTATGTAACAGTCAGCATTTTTATTCTGTAAATTTTTTTATTTTCTAGACTGTATAAAAAAAGGACAGATTCAAAAATGGTTTTAAAACAACCTGATGTTAACTTAGACACGGGACTGAATGAAAAGAAAAAATATTTTGATTTCCGGATGTCGTGTTAACCGACCTGTGCCATGAGGGCCGCCACTTCCAGAGCCAGCTCTTTGTTCACAGGGAAGTGGCCCTGCATTACTTCATCATTTACTTGGTAGGCCAACAGGAGGCGCTCTCGCTCTGTCTCCCCTTTTACCTGAGACCTAAAACACAGTCTGCAAATGCAGGCAAGGAAAAAGTGATCAGTGAACCGATTTCCAATGTGCAAAACTATTTTGAAAATGCATCTTTCCTCATGAAAATTGGCCTTCTAACCACTGTTATAAGGTCTTTGAAAGTGACGTCTTTCAGGGTGAAGATGTGGACATGGAAACCTGGCAATTTCCAGGTTTTGGCATCACAAGAGTGCACTTGGTTGTCTTCAGTTTATATGGAGTGGTGTGGTTTATTTAAAAAAGCTCTCTCTTTAAACACATCTTTATGGCCACGTCATAAAACATGCTGCTGCTGATGTGGGCCATCTTTAAATATCGGGCATTGAAATCATACCTGTTTTTGTATGTTAGCCGAACAATTCGCGTCCCCTCATTTTTCCCTGGATGAAGCTCCTTTAGAGCCTGCTCCCACTTGGAAATGACATCACAGATCTGGGAAAGTGGATAAAAAGTCAGAACACACGTTCTTCCCCCACCCAATTACCTCTAACTAGGTTGTTTTAGAAAAAAGAAAAGAAAAGAAAACTGTTTGTGTTGAATTGTCCTTTGGGTCTTGTTAAAGATGATCATGGAAATCTAGAGCTGGAAAAGCTACTCCTTCTATTACTGTGTAGAATTTAATCACAGTGACTTTGATAGTCACTTGATTGTCAGATAATATCGTTTCTGAATTGTCAGTGGACATATTTTTGCCTAACAACACAAACGAGCCCCCGGTGGTGTGCAGTGCCTTTAATGAACTCACACATCCCGAGTGACCCACAGGCCTACCTTGGCTGATGGCTGCAGGCAGTGCTCCAGGTCTTTGCCTGAAGGGTCATCAGTGAAGAGGGCAAAACCAGTCAGCTGCGTCTTTCTCATGCCGATCCGCTGGTTCAGTGTGTTGAGGAACTCATCCACTGTAGTTGAGCCATCAAAGCCCACCACCTACATGAGCAATCAGAAGTTTAGATTGTGGGATGCTTGTGAGCATGTAGTAAAAAAAAAAAAGGTTTTAAAGAACTCACAAATCTCTTTTTGGTATTTACTCCTTGTTGAGTAAAATAAAGCCAATCATAAATCGGTAAATGTGTATCGGTATCAATGGAATCCATTTTTTTAACTGTTAAAAACATCCACAGCAAATAGGAACTGCATACATGTGCATTGTGAGATCTTGCTTTCCTCCAGAGAATTTAAGGTTAAAAGTAAAAAAAAACATCTGTACCCTTAAGATAACATTAAAATGTAATTGTACGGTCAGTGCAGCTTAAGAAAGAATCGTGTTGTCACAGCATGGCAGAATGATTGCTGTGAACACCTCATGACTACACTTTTGATCACACTCTTTTGAAACCATGATTTACCTGGTAGGTGTTGTTCATGAAGTGAACTGGGATGCTGAACGGCAGTGAATGGTGGTAGGGGTTCCTGAGCAAGATGGAAACTATCTCCATCCGGGAAGGTTTGGCTTCCCGCTCCCCATTTTGTAAGGTTCGCTCCAGAGATCTCTGACAGTATATCGCATACTTCCCCACCTCACTCCTGTGGTGGGGAGAACAAATAGACATGTTAGAAATGCCTAGAGCATGGAGTGGGAACTGGTCTGAGTTGTATTTAAGCTCCACTCAGAGATCAGGGCTACTTCACCTGGGGTCCGCATTGTGCTGCAGGTACTGTCTTAGGTACCACAGGAAATGCTGCTGAGGGAGGAACAGCGCCACACACAGAGAAAGAAGCTGCCAGCACTACATCAGAGAGAGGAAACCAACCTTAGATGAGCCTTCACCAACATGACAGCTGTTATTAGTCTTTATTTACTGGAACTGTTTAGTTATGACTGTGCATCTTGCTGACCTGAGTGATGGGGTAGTTTTGTGGCGTCCTGCGATTGGTCTGTTTAATCAGCTGGCAGTATATTTCGTTCTGCAGCTCCGGGTGGGTCAGGCATACTTGCAGGGCATTTTGAGCCAAAGAGGTGTGGTAGTCCACCGATGGCGACTCAACCAGGACATTGATGAAGAGCTGACAGGACTGCAGAGACGGGACATTACAGTCAAGTAATGTCACAGAGTGACCAGCAGGTAGGGCTAAAGACCCATGAGCAAACCACTCTGACAGCAGCGCATTCGCAATGTAATTTAAAGCAGTGGAATAAATACGATTTTAATAGGCAGGTGAAGAATGATATTTTGGCTTCATGGTTTAGGTCTCCAGTCTTTGTGCTGCAGAAGACAAAGATCTCCGTCAGTCTCATTAATACTTCTAAGACAGAAAGTAGGGCATGAACTTGAAAAGCGTGTCATCTCCATTCATTCTGTTTCATTGTCTGTATGTTTGGGAGATTCTTTCAGGATGACTGGTCAAAGAAAGAGCCGATCCATTCAGCTATCTATGCTCCAGCCCGGCAGAGTTGGTGGGGGTCTGAAAGCGAGGACTGTTCTGGAAACCGGCTTATGGGGGGATACGTTAAGGTATAGAGAGCTGAAAAGAAAAAGATACTGTCATTTTCCTCTAAGGTCCTCACGCTGCTCTTATTATTTTTTCGCCCCTCTCATCCTGTGTCTTTCATATCCATTGCTGTCACTCTCTGAAAGCTCTGACCTCCCATGAGTCCTTTTAAAGGAGGGTTTCCTTCACACTGCCAGTAAACCACAGTTAGCCTCAATAAGAGCAGATAATTAAGGCCATTATATCTCTGCCACACGTTTGATGAGCTGGGCCCCTCAGCCTTGAGCCTTTGATCTATTTTAAAGGCATGAGAGGATGAAGGCCAAAGAGAAAAGAGGGGCTACACTGGGAACAAACTGGAGAGGGACGGATATTTCCTCGAACAGACCTTAACAAAGAGGAAGGCAGAACAGCAGAGATGGGATGGAGAAGAGGATGAAAGGAAAAGGAAAGAATCAAAATTAAGTGGGGTGGAACAAAAAAAAAAAAAGAGGTCAGAGGTGAAGAGAGGGACCTTGAAAAGCTTGAGAGCCTCCGTCTGCAGAGCTTCAGATGGCAGAGTGGTGAGAGGCGTTCGCAGACCCTCTTTACAGAAGCTCAAGGCCTCGCTCTTCCACAACACAGACTCTGGGAAAACACAGAGAGGAACATGCACATGTAGATATTTAAGCCCACACAAAGAAGTCCACAGACAGACAAACAAAGATCCAATTTCAAAGCTTTTGAAACTGAACAGCTGAGAAAAATGAGCACGGCTCTCTGGAGTCGTAAACAGAGTCCGCAATCTCAAATAACATGGATCAAAATAAAATGTAGCATGCTACTAATTTGTGGAGGCAGACTGCAAGTTCAAGCCCTCAGAAAACAGTTGCTGTTTTTGTCAAAGAATGACAATTTTATTTTCCAGGGTTAACTGCATACAATGCAAATGGTTGTTAACAGTTTAAAGACAACACAGAAAAGAATGTATTCATACAAAAAAAGAAATATGCAATTCCTCAACACATAAACCTTACTTATTATATCGAATCAGTATCTGAAAGTTTGCTTTTAATTAACGGAATTACGGGGTTAGTGCAGTTCAGAGGGATTATAGTAAAGTAGACGGTTCTCACCTGGGTCTCCCTCTGCATCCAGGAGTTTACCAATGAGCTGCTCGTACTCTGTTCCTACTTTCAATGTTGCACTGCTGCCAGCCGCCACAGTCAGGTGATACAACCAAGTTTCCTTGTAGAATCAAAAAGAAAAGTTTGTATGCGACAGGAGAAAAAGGACATTCAAGTTCAGCATATCTTGTCGCAGGAAATACCTTTTCCTGCTTGGTGCCAATGAGCAGGTAGGTAGGGCTCTGGTCTCTTGGTTGGACCACCAAGGTGCAGTGGGACGACAGGAACCCTCGACTGCCCGCCTCATAGTCCTCGTCTGAATCGCACGAGCGATCGACCTCCTGCACCTGCGCCTTGCGCATCTGCAGCTGACCAAGATGCAACTGACACAAGCAGAAAAGCAGGAACTGTCAGATATATACGATTAAATATGGGCCCAAGTATGGAGGAAAAAGATGTTACACATGTATGATTTACATAAATATTTCATTCATACTAAAGCTTCTGAGAAAACATATTTGTACAAAACTCTAATATTTTTAATGTGATTAATATCATCTCAATGCAAAAGGTAGCGCAGCAGAAACTGTTGGGGGAAAATGAGAAGGACAGAATGTTCTTAAGAACCTTGTCCTCCTGGTTGCGATAGTAGTAGAACACTTTTCCAACCAAAGAACACCACACCAGTTTCGAGTGGCCATGTTTGACCTGTAACAGAAAAACAACAGCATTTAGCACATGGAAAAAGTTCCAGGACAAGCACAGCTATCATTTGTCATAACAGCTGTGAAAAAATAGATGCATTCAATCTTTTTTAATTTGAATGGAAATGAGATCTTTTTCTAAAATCCTCGACCATTATTTCTTAAAGATTTCTACATCCCTTCACCAGATGTCCAAAGGGCAGAAAGAATCCCTTTAGATCAACTTTCTGTGTCGAAAGCAAAGAGACGACTAACTCTTTGAAAATGAAAACAGTCCATCAAATAGGGATGCAGCTGGAGAGAATAATGACACATCTCTCTCTGATAAGGGCTTCTCTCAAAGAGTTGCAGGAATATGGAGTGATGATATAACTGGAGGATGCCTCCCAGACGAAGCCAGCTGCGCATCTAGCAGAGGCGGTCGCCAGGCTGGAAGGCGCTCTGAGAGGCACGGCAGCCTGACTGAATTACCCTCATGTCACCACCACCAGATCAAAGCTGGCTGGTAGAATGACTTTGAGTTGTTGGTAGGAAAACATGATCTTAGTCATCTCAGCATGAGGCTGTCAGTCATCTGTCAGGCATCCATCCTGCACAGCCATCACAAGTGTCAATTTTAACGGCAGGTGGGCCTCTGCCAGCAGAGGAGGGTGGAAATTAAGGGGGAAAGAGCCTTTAAAGCATTCCATCGGCTCCTATCTTGTAGCCGTGTCTGAACGTGAAGGTTCTTAAAAGTCTGCCGGAAAAGTGATCTCTCAGCTGGTCCACACCTTAGTAGGAACCCCTCTGCGAGGGTACGCTAGGACTGGAAAGTAGCCATGTCTGGCAACAGTCTGGAACAAACATATATCCATATCTATTTAAAAAACCAACTGTTATGATGAGGTAAAGTTAAAGATAGGTTAAATAGATCAATTTCGGCTCTAACCTTTGTAAGCCAGCCTCTCACTGAGGGCTTTGACCTCGTCTCCACAGGGACCGGGCTGCTGGCTTGGACTTTCAGTATGTTCTGCAGAACTCTGATCCACTCCTCCAAGATGTTGGGCGAGTCAGCGGTCAGATAAAAAGTCTTCTTCTCTGTTATTAGCTGAAAGGGAGAAATGGAGAGAAAATGCTAAAGCAACCAGACTGACATAGCATCAGTCTTTCAGATGAGATTAGAATCATCTCTCTAGGAGCCAGAAAAACATTCCTGTCGTTTTCACCCTTTTTGAAAAAAAAAAAAACAGATTTATTGCAAAGGTTGGTCCTAAACTTTATACACTGTCTTAGATGTCCTGTGCAAACATTTAAGAAACCTTATGAGCCACTCACTTGAAACGTCTGTGCCCCCTCTCCACGTACTATACAGCAGGATGAGTTCAGCTCGATCTGACCCTGTGGTTTCCTGATCACGTCGCTCTGAAAGAAACACACACATCAAAACCTCTTTCTGAGAACTGAAGAACTGCATTGACTCCTAATTCAAGAATTCACATAGATGGTACGTGGGCCTTGACTCCTGTCATCCACACAAACACTACGGAAACCTAGAAATATTCCAGCAATGTTTTCTGTGAAGACAGCAACACCTTAGAAGGAAGCGGGCAGGCACGCTGGGAGCAGGATGAACTCACAGGAGATTTGTAGTAGAGGATCTCTCTATTCCTCAGGATGAACCAGCGGCGTTTCCAGGCTTTCACCTGACTCCCCATCTTTAGCAGGTAGCCAGATTTCTCCAGCGTCTCCTTTAAGACAACCAGCACGAGAATCATTAGGGCATGTCTGACCGGTCACTCTTTGCTGACCTAATTTCAAGGATTGCATCAAATTGGTTTGACTTAAATCTTCGCTGCTGCCTTCTTGACCGCAGCGTAACACAGGTTTTGCTGAGTGGAGAGGGCTCTACTCACAGGCCCAGAGCTCTCACAGGAGTAGGAGGAGGTGCGCTGGACTTTGTGTTCTGGTTCAGAATAGTCGCTGTCCAGGGAGTATGCGTCAGGAGGAATAGCATAGTCGCTTTCCGAGCTGATGGAGGACATGGAAACACCTGTGACAGATTGAAGTAGTGGTTAGCCAGTTTTTTTGCCATACAAAAGGGAGAATATAGGGAGAATATTCACTTTGACTAGCATTGCGTCTGAACTTACAAACAGGATTTAAAAAAGTGAAATTATTGGAGAACTAATACCGGTTCTTTTTCATTTTAATCGTTTAATAGATATCTTTTCTTGTATTGTTTCTTTTTGTCTGTGCCCATTTGTGTAGTTTGATCGGATTTACTTCCCTCACTGACTGACTTCCCCTTTCTTCTAAACTATCTTAACTCTACATACATTTAGGAGCATGTTGCAGTGGATAATGGCTGATATACATATCGGTTTACACTTACCACAAAAACATTTTCACAGTTCTCTCTGTACAGTGCTCATCAATCCTCACCTCTCTTGACAGCTCGTGGGCTGCCTGGAACGCTACCTTTCCTGTCCGGGCTCAGAGTGGAGGTCCGTAAACTGGCCAGAGAGCTGCTGTCGTCCTCCGAGCCGGAGTCATCCTCCGGCAGAGGCACGCTGCTGATTTGAGTGGCTTTCTGGAAAAATACGCAAAACCAGAAACATCTTAAAGCATCTTGAAGCACAAAAGAGTAGAGTGCACACTTTATTTGGAAAAAAAGAGGAAAAGTGTTCAGTTAAAGTCTAAAATAACATTTCACTCACCCCTTTCAGTTGGGTATAGACTGGGACATTGATATTTTTATAGATCAACTGAGTGAATGGGCCTGTTGCAGGATACTGGGGTAGGTTTGAGCCTGAAACATAGTGATTATCTAGGTTAGAAGCATATGGCATAGTAAGAATAACAGAGCACAGCATTTACAATTTTAAATCTTATTACGAGCCATACAGAAACCAGTCTGTACAGGAGTCACATGAAGAGAAAACAGTAGATTCACTCAGAGAAGTAATGAAGATAGTAAACATGCTTAGTAAAGTAAATTGCATATTCAGTAGATGTTTTTTTGTTTGAGCTGCCCACTCTTTTGGTTTTCAACATAGCTAATTGCCTCAAACTGGACTAAATTAATTTAATGCTAAGACGTGCCAAGTTTTCTACGGAAAGCCTCATGTAAATCACCCAGTTGGTTCAATATATCATTTTATGCCCGTTTAACTGTACACTTTAACAGAAAAAACAAGAAAGAAATTATCTGAAAAATCTTCACATAAAAAGCTCAAAACACATTCGGAGAGCTTGAAGAACTATTCCTTGGGATAATTTTAAAATAGAAACAGAAAGTCTCCACATTCAAAGCTTAGTATAAAGACATGGCAGATGGCCCGAAACATTTAAATTTATATAAATATATAAATATAAAACACACACACATACATA